CAATGTTTTGGAGGCCGTCCATGTCTCGCCTGTGATATCCCCATAATATGGTCGAAAAACCGCGGGCACCGACAGCTCGAACAAGTCGCTGAAGACTTGCTGCCGAGACAGTTCGGCTGAAGGGATGATATCCGGAGCTTCCGGAGCGTCAACGTGGAGGGCAGCCGGATCAGAGTTTGCATTCGACGAACATCCTCCTCGATCACGGTCGCTGTCTTCCAGTCTGCCTCTTCAGCACTTTCGGCCGTATCAGTGCGATGAACGCGCTTTTGTTTAGGAACGTCGGCAGGCTGCCTGACCGCTGGTCTCTTCCGACGTTTGGTTACCTTGGAGAGGTGTGCTGGACAATCGGGAAATATCGACGGAACTGCGTCACCGGCCAAAGATGCTCGACGAGGCACACTCGTAAGGACGTTGCCGTTGTACTCCACAGCCCAGGTTTGCGAAACAAAACGAAGCTCAAAATGTCTCTCGCACACATGATCCGACGCTTGAAGGCTTCGATCCTTGCGGGGAATGGCGTGCCTCCAAAGTTTCAGGCGGGCGTCGTCCTTCGGGGCCGAAAAGAGAGAAAACTTTTGCTGGCATGACTTGTAACCGGTGTTACAACGCGGCACGAAACACTTCCTTCCCATTGTTAGAAAAAACGTGTGCTAAACAAGGGAAAACACAACAACCGACGACTCAGACGACGCACCAACACAGAGAACCAACGCGAGCGAGGCGAGACCCGGCGAAACGATAGCCCGCACTGCACTCCTGCCACCTGTCAGAATGTGCGCGAACCGCGAGCGTTTATTCGACACGCTGGTTCCGCCGGGAGAGCTGCGCGTTGAACCACCTCCTCTATCTTCCACCAGGCTTGCGGCAGCCAGAATGCAAGTGAAAATGGCGGGCCACCTCCTGAAACCCCCGAGTACCACGTGACTCGCGCCGAGCTGCTCTGTCGGCCTTGTTGTCGCCAAAACACGTGGATCAAACAATTGCATTACTCTGCTCCTTAGGAGCTAGTGCTCTACCCACACCACATTTCCACGCCCGAGGCAGCCATAACGCAGCTCTGTCGGACAGCATAGAGGCCTTACAAGGCACTTCCTGAAGAGAAATTTCCCTTTCGGTGCCGCACGCTGATCGACCCATCGGGGAAGCTATTTTCTTATTCAATGCATGGGCCCACTCCACCGAAGACCTAGAGACTGCTTGTCCTATTTTTGTGATTTTAGTCTTGATTGTATCCTTGTCTTCCTCTTTCCTCTCATAAAACGTCAGTTGTAAGTAGCGCTCTCTCTTGTCTTCTCTTTTTTTCCTGTGTTCGTCCTCGCCAGCTGTGGGACGGAGGCACAAAGTGACGGACTGCCAAGGTATAAGGCCGAAGCCAGAAACGGACTTGTTCCTGGAGGCTCTTGCCATTGGGACAGGGGTAGAAGCCAAGACTCGGCAGGTGCAGCACAAGAACAGAGCATTAAAGCAAGAAGTATATGATGTATAATGCGTCTCCCACAAATAAATGTAGTGTTTTTTCACTTCAACAATAAACTATGGATTGTGGAACGCTCATTCAACGCCTAAGTGTAGCGCTAGCAGTCTGACCAGATGCCAGTTTCCGAACTAACCATCACCTCATCTAAAAGTTATGCGATTCTTTAAAAATTTCAATGGAGAAATTTGGCCCATTTCAGCTCGTTTAGGTGACTGGCGCCATTCAGGTTCATGTATTCGAGAACTTTATTGACTGCCGTTTTCCGACAAAAACTTCAGAAATTCGCCTATAACTTTTCAGTAAGATATCGATTAATTTGAAAACTTTTGCCTCTGGCTCGGACCGCTAGGATATCATTTGCGTGGAGAATCAGTTTTCGTGTATGCATAGTTTACATTCGTAGTAAAAACAAAATGTTATATATTTTGTAGTGGGGGCAGAGCATGGACTCTATTCACCCCGAAAAAAAAGTAATGGCCACCACAGGGCTGAGCAGTATCGCGATACAGATGTATCGCGATGGTATCTTAGAGATACTTTCGAGTATCTGTATCTCTGTATCGAGATACATTTGTAAATTGTATTTGTATCTCAGTACTGAAACACATTTACAATGTATCGCTTGTATCGCGATACTTTGCCTGACTTAGGCATCTCGTTACATTTGTTGCCCTTTTTAAGATAAATTTAGAGGATAAAAACATCCGTTTGGTGCAACTTGCTTCAGAATTTATATCAAACTGCCCTATAGCATGATCAATCTCAATCACCAACAATAAAAAGGGTTTAAAGGTTATTTGCAAGAATAAGAAAATCTGCTCTTCTCACAAAGCCCTCCACTCTTTCAAATTTAGAGGAGGGAACGCTGTAAAGGCGTTGAGTGGAGAAAAAGTATAACCCTGTAGTCCAACTTCCCTACACTATGGGTAACTCAGAAGCTCATAATGTGACAGTTTGAGATGCACCCTCACGGCAAAACTGGGTTCATTTCGGGCAGACACCTTCTGTCAAACATGGTTTGCAGTCTTTACCGTTCTGTAGCTATGTGGTTTAACGGGAGTGACGTGTTTTTTTAGCGAAATCAATGATAGATAAAGAGTTTGAGGTAATGAGTGAAAGAATGAGCGAAGAATAATTCTTTTCTTGATTATGGCAAAGCTGATTTGAGGCTATAAACAGCAAGTTGGCGCAATTCCTTGACGTTTTCCTATCCAATTTTTTTTAACGCTCTGTCGAGGTTAATTGGACAATGTTCAAAAATAAAGTAAATTCCCTTAACAATTCTTTCGTCCCACGTCGCTTTCTTACTAATAGCTCCAAGTCCCCATGGTTTAATAAAGCCTTGAAAAGACTTTCAAATAAAAAGAAACGCCTGTTCCACACTGCTAAGCGTGCAGACACTGTTGAGCGCTGGGCGGCTTATTACAACGCTGAAAATGTATACAGAAATGCAATTAAGGACCCTAAACAAACTTTCTTCAGCCAAACCCTGCCCCGTCTGTTATCAACTGGTGTCAAAATGTTTTGGAGCGTTATTAATGGCAAGACAAGGATATTTTGCTTTATGACTCTGATGGCATTGTTATGTCCAACGATGACTCTGCAAAAGTCCTCAATGAGGTGTTTGTACAATCGTTTTCTAGGGATGTAAGCTGTTCCATTGTTACTTACCCTAATTATGATTTCTTTCCTATGGACCCACTTGTGTTTGATTTTGATGGGATTGTTAAGCTGATTGACAACCTCAAAGTCTCGTCCTCACAGCGTGGCTTTCGTAAATTTCTTGTGAAACACAACTTCTTGTCCTTACTAACGATTTATTTGCATTACTTGATCATGGATCCCAGGTTGACTGTATTTTTCTTGATTTCTGCAAAGCATTTGATAAAGTTTCTTACCAACTACTACTCTTCAAGCTTAGCAAACTCAATCTTGACCCTCAGATACTAACTTGGATTGAGTGTTTTCTTACTAATCGTTCTCAGTTTGTTCATGTAAATAACTCTAATTCCTCGGTGTCTTCTGTTACTTCTGGAGTCCCTCAAGGCTCCGTTCTAGGTCCTTTGTTATTCCTCATTTACATCAATGATTTGCCGTTGTGTGTCTCATCATCGCTTAGTTTGTTCGCAGATGACTGCGTTATTTATCGTAAGATTACTAATGATTCTGACTCCCTCCTTCTTCAAAACGACTTAAATGCTGTTCTTGATTGGTGCAAGCTGTGGTCCATGACACTTAACACTAAAAAATGTAAAACAATGAAAGTGTCTCGCCGTAACACTTCGCCTTTTATCTATCATCTTGATAATGTTTCTTTAGAATGTGCGACTTCATATAAATACCTTGGTGTGCATATTACTTCTAACCTCTCCTGGCATATTCATATTAACCACATCATTGCTAATGCCAATTCTATGTTAGGCTACCTAAAACGTAACTTTTCTCTAGTGCCAGTTTCTCTCAAACTGATATTATTGAAATCTCTGGTTCGCTCAAAATTAGAGTATCTGGGATCCTGGTTAGACGACGCTCACTTCTCATCTCGAGTCAGTTCAAAACCACGGCGCTCGTTTCATACTTAATAATTATCACCGGACAGCTAGTGTATCATCCATGAAATCTCTTCTCTCCTTGCCACTGCTTTCTTTGCGCCGTAAGTGTTCTCGTCTATGTCTTTTCTATAAAATATACAATTCTAACCCCATTCTTAAAGAGAAGCTCTTCCTCGTCCCACCTTATGTTTCTCCACGCATTGATCATCAGTACAAAGTCGGCATTCCTGATTCTCGAACCTCAGCCTATCACGATTCTTTCATTCCTAGGACATCACCAGAGTGGAACCACCTTCCGGCATCATTAATGTTATTATCCTCGTTAGATGTTTAAAAGTGCTGTTACTAATTATTTTTGCGAAAGTGACCCGTGACTTATATTGTCTTCTATTACCGTTTGTTGTTGTTGTTGTTGTTGCTTTCACTCACTCCCCTCTGTAATGCCCCCAGGGCCTTGAGGGTATATAAATAAATAAATAAATAAGTAGTGCCTAAAATGACACAAAAAGAGGAGCACAAGCATAAATTACCTTTCGCATTCACCACGAACTGCACCCTCTCCACGTAACACCATTCGGGAACAAATATATTTGTATGAGTATCTGTATCTGTATTCTGGAATACTTTTTCGCCGTTATTGCAGAAGTATCTCAGGGATATCCTGTTGCAAAAAAGACAAATGTCGGTATCTGTATTTTGGCCTTAAAACACATGTATCTCAGTATTTGTATTCCCGAACACTGTTTGGAGTATCTCTGCCAAGCCCTGGGCCGCCACAATCCAATCCAAACCTATGTGCTCCGGTATGCACATTTACTCGGCAGTCAATTTCATGGCTACGAAATTTCCACAGTGAGGTCTCAGCATAGCACACGATGGCAAATAAGAACTTTCCAGAAGCTGCTCCCCCAATGGCATTCCTTCAGCTAAGATATGCATGGCTGGAAAACAACACTTTAACACTGAAAGCTCAAACTGTCTAGCTTTATTTGCGAGGAACACTGATACAGAACTCTCATTACACATTTATCATCTGCCGAATTTATTTGAGACAAATGAGAGTAAGAAACAAAATCCACAATGAAGATATACACAAATGCATTACACAATGCAAAACTAAGCACACATTGACCAACAATACACAGGATGCAGTAAACCATGCAAAAAATGGACATTTTAGTACAAAAAACATTTTCTGCCATACATGACACTTACGGTCTGAGAATTCCGACAAAGATACACAGAGACAACTATCGGCAACAAGAATACGGAGCAACAGAAAATTATGATAACCTAAATACAAGAGCGATATCTTAAAGCAGGTGTCATATAAATACATCACTATGAAGATTTCAGTGCAGGGAAGGAAGCAAGAACACTTAGATATGATCGAGTTCAAGTTACTTCAGCTCTCTACCTCCCTCTTCAAACCAGAATTGAACATGCATTATGGAGCATTAAAAATTGGCACGCTGTCAATTGTAAAACCAGCTTGGCGGTGTGGGAGTATGACTATACTAGGGGGACCGCTTTTCTTGGCCTTTCGAAGAAGAGAGCTCACGTGCAAGTTCCATCAGAGCTGAAAATTGGAGAAGGCATAAGTACCAGTGCCTTTGACTGCGTTGCCATGAAAAGTTATCCCAGAGTATAGCAAAGTTCGAATCGGGAGCACAAACCACTGTAGTGCACACACACTCAAAAATCGGTTTCCAGCCGAGTTGATTGCTAAGATGGAGAGGCATGCTACAGGACGTAAAAATAAAAACCTAAAAAATTACTCTACATAGAGTACCAGATTACAAAAGCAGAAAAAAGACACTACAGGAATTGAAATTCACACACTTTATTTTTTAGATAGTAAAATTGAATCTATGGTGACATTTATTTTCTGCATGTGCCCATCTTTTAAAACAGGAGTAAAAACAAACATATTAGAAAACACCTCAAACGAGCTACACAGACCTATTTCAATCTAATGAAAAAGTCAAAGGTTTGTCATTGCACGACCAACCTTTTGATTACTTCTGGCAAGGAATTTCTCCCTACTCCTCAACACATTCGTCATTATTAACAGTAGCATTCAGATGAAAGGCTTGTGAGCAATGCAAGAGTTTGGCTATGCATAAACAATCAATGTGGCAACCATACTGGATATACAACAAACTGTTCTGAGAAGTAAAGAGTGCAAAAGCCCACTACCTGCCACCCGATTAATGCAATCGTCCTTAGGTTTGTTTACCACTGCTTTGGCACATGCCCCACGAGGCAGAGGTATAAAAAAATGCACAGGAAAATTGCTGTCATTTGTAAGGCACTGCATTCCTGTCATTTTAGGGTACTGCATGCATTTATATATTTCAACTGAAATCGTGTATATCTCTGCACTGCAGATTAGATCAGAACTCTGAGAAAGGGCCTTGGGACACATGTTCCACTTAAATTACTTTTCAACAGTGTGTTAGATTATGGCGTCTCAGATATGAATTCTGCGAAAATGATCGGGGGCACAACTTGCACTTAAATGGCTTTTCACCAGAGTGTGTTCGATTATGGTAGATCAGACTGGAATTCCGAGAAAAGGCTTGGGGGCATAGCTTGCACTTAAATGGCTTTTCACCCGAGTGTGTTCGATTATGGTAGATCAGACTGGCTTTCTGAGAAAAGACTTGGGGGCAGACCTTGCACTTAAATGGCTTTTCACCTGAGTGCGTTCGATTATGTGTTTTTAAATTAGAACTCTGAGCAAAGACTCGGGGGCACAGCTTGCACTTAAATGGCTTTTCACCTGAGTGTGTTCGATTATGGTGGATCAGATTGGCTTTCTGAGAAAAAACTTTGGGGCACACCTTGCACTTAAACGGCTTTTCGGAAGAGTGTGTTATGTTATGCGTTTTTAAACTAGAATTCCGAGAAAAGACTCGGGGGCACAGCTTGCACTTAAATGGCTTTTCACCTGAGTGTGTTCGATTATGCACGATCAGACTGGCTTTCTGAGAAAAGACTTGAGGGCAAACCTTGCACTTAAATGGCTTTTCGGAAGAGTGTGTTATATTATGCGCCTTTAAATTAGAATTCTGAGAAAAGACTCGGGGGCACAGCTTGCACTTAAATGGCTTTTCACCTGAGTGTGTTCGATTATGCCCGATCAGAGCACAATTATGAGAAAAGGCTCGAGGGCACAGCTTGCACTTAAATGGCTTTTCACCAGTGTGTGTTTGATTATGGTAGATCAGATGACCATTCTGAGAAAAGGCTTCGGGGCAGAGGTTGCATTTAAATGGCTTTTCATCAGAGTGTATTAGATTATGCCTTCTTAACTGAGAATTCCGAGCAAAGGCTTTTAGGCAAAGCTTGCACTTGAATGGCTTTTCACCGGTGTGTGTTTGGTTATGACTGGTCAGTAGGGAATCACAAGCAAAGACTTGAGGACACAGTTTGCACTTAAACTTGTTGCTTTTGTGCTTTTGAGTGTTGCTTGGCACTTCGGACCTGGAGTGAGAGGACACGGGAGGATGCTGGCTCTTGGATTGTTCATCACCATGGGCAACCAGGTGGTTCACGATCCCATGCTGATCTTTGGCGACATAGGTGCAGGAACAGCACCCAAACCAGATGTCCTCAGTGGCTTTCAATGGGCAGCTGGTCTCACCCAAAAGTGCAGGTCCCCCTCCTACAAGGCTTCATGTGTATTAGGACACTAGGAAAGCATAACAAAGATAGCCACGTTTTAGAAATAAGCAGTCATTACTGTAGTCCTGCATTAGCTGAGTGGCTGAATTACATTTCTTTAACTTCTATTTCAGTTCAAAGCACTGTCTCGTGTTAATTCAACATGGTTAAGTTTATTTAAAACCAAAGTTTCCACGAAAATTAAAGAAAATATTCACTTGCCTTCAGATGTAGTGTGTTGCTCTCTACCTTCCAGAATGTTTTCAACAATACGACATGCTCAAGAACTACCAAATGGACACATCAGATGGCCAAGAACATATATTGTGAGAGTGACAAATTACATCTAAAGGACGAGGGAAAGTTTTTTCTGTTTGCACAAATTATAGATTTTTAACAAAACTTTGTGGCATGTTTTGCAAAGAAAAACATTAGGAAGCAAAGGCTGACTTTCTACACGGTTCATTGTCTCCCAATGTTATCCTGGTAACTCTCAGAAAGCCCTCTTCCTCCAATCTCATCTTCATCTTCCTGTACATAAGAACTCAAAAATGTACCTTGCCTCATTCTTTTCCTACTGCCATGAACATCCCCTTAACTTCAATCCTAGTGCTTGCTTCCCTCCCCGAGAAGCATAATCCATATCACTTTATACATTTTCATCTGAGCACTGGGCTCAGCCGAGGACGCGTCCCTGGTGGAGGATCTCCGAATTGGCATGGATTTGTACAAGAAGCACTGCTTTGGGCTAGACCACCTGTAGTCTAGACTAGGGCACTGCACGGGCCGGAATTCCTAGGCCCGGCTTGACCCGGCCCGGTAGAGACACGGCCCAGGCCCGACCCGAGCCCGACAATATTTTTAATTTTTAGGAGCCCGACAAAATTTTTAATTTCTCAGCCTGGGGCCGGCCCAAGTCCGAAAAAATTTAAAAATATGTGCCCAAGCCGGAAAACTGGGACTGAAATTTTTTACACCATAAATATGCCGACAGATATATTTTCGAGGTATGGGCGAAATATGCACATGATTTGCGAGTCTTTGAACTCATGGCATAAGACAAAAGAATGGAATTTTTTATTTATGAATTTTTTTTACAGATATTGCACTTTTCATTGTCCAGTTCAATTTGTTTCACAGGAAAATTCCCTTCCCACATGTTTTTGTACAAAAACAATAAATTGTCCAGTGACTTTTTCTTCAGGCAGGTACACCTTGTTTACATGACGCAGCCCTCCGCGCTAAGGTTATGTTTGCATCGAGCACTTGCGAGTGCACAGGATTTGTTGTTTGTGGTTTTAATGGTGCAAGAGCATCAATGGCCATACTGCGCCAAACAAGGTAAATCAATAAAAAAAGGGTGAGTAGAATTAAACTATGGGGGTATAGAATAGTTCTATAGTTTGTTTAAAATCTGGTATTTTCAAGGAAATCAAAAAGACATTTGAATGAAATCAGTGGTCGCTCACCAAGTAGCAAGGCCCCAGGGTGAAATGGAATGTGATATTTGAAAAGATCAGGAAAAAAGAATTTGTGCTGCTGCCGAAGACCAGGACAAAGAAATAAAATATGAAGAACAGTCAAAGGTTCACCGCAGCGCTCGCAGGATGGAGGTTTTTCACCAGTAAGCAGGTAGCTATGAGTGAGGTAGGTGTGGCCGATTCTCAGGCGGCATAAGAGGACCTCGTGGAATATGTTTTTATTGTAAGATGTTTCCCAGGTACCAAGGTCTGGCTTGATGGTGTGAAGCTTATTGTTAACCTCTACATCCCACTCGGACTGCCACGATTGCAAGACTGCAAGTCTTGTAGGCATTTTTAAGTCTTGGTGGGGGATGCGGACATGTGACACGGGAAGGTTTTGCGAAGAGACGGCTCGTTTATCTGCAGCCTCGTTGCCTGCAATGCCCACATGGCTAGGAATCCAGCAAAACCTAATGTCATACCCATCCTGCAGGCCCTGCTGCACCTTAACACGCACAGTCAGGGTCAGCCAATTCTTTGTTGATAAAACAGAACATACAGCCCAAACAACACTATGGGAATCTACAAAGATGATGGCTTTCTTTATACTATTACTCTGAACTATATGGTCAAGTGCCATCATGACCCCATATAGCTCGGCAGTAAAAATACTGGCAAGAGTGTTTAGACGAGCGACTTTGGAAAAACGAGAACAGTATACAGCCGCACCAAACATATATTGACGACTTTGCACCATCAGTGTAAAAATGATTATAATCTTTGTATTTTTCCTCTAATGCAAAGAATTCCTGCAGTAAAATTAAAGGTGAGACTCTTTGCTTCCTGAATTTTGTGAAGCACCAGTCCCAAAAAATGGGTTTGACATTCCATGGGGCAGTATGGTATGAACTATTCAAGAGGTTAAAATCACCAGTCAGATTGAGGGAGGAGCGAAGACTCTCGACACGAAGGCTCAAAGGCCGCACAACAGTTGGCTTATGGTTAAAGAGGCGAGAAAACCTAAACTTTTGAATAAAACTATAAGTGGGGGAGTTGGGGTCCGACAAAATTTCGTAAACATAGGTGAGGCTAAGCAGCTGTCACCTTTTTTCAAGCGACATTTTATGACAGTCAACATACAAGCTAAGCACAGGGGAGGTGCGAAAAGCACCAGATGCCAAACGCAGCCCAAGGTGATGTACTGGATCGAGCATTTTTAAAGCAGACGGTCTTGCAGAGGTGTAGACAATTGAGCCATAGTCAAGGCGGGATCGGATGAGAGAAGAATATAGACGAAGGAGACATTTCGTATCCGAGCCCCACGACTTGTGCGAAAGAACTTTAAGTATGTTCAATGCCTGCAGAGTTTTTTGCTTGAGCTGTTTGAGATGCGAAACAAAGGTAAGTTTACGGCCAAAAGTAACTCCTAGAAACTTGTGCTCCATTTTGACAGCAATGTTGTTTCCATTTAAAAGAAGTGTAAAATCTAAACAGAGGCCACGTTTAAAAAAAAAAAAGGCACACAAACAGTTCTCTCTGGAGAGAACCTAAAACCATTCTCATCAACTTATGTTCACATTTTATTTATGGCCAGTAGTAGCTGCCGCTCACTGCTAGACATATTACATGACGCTACAGATATCTGAATGTCATCGACATATAGCGAGTAAGATACTGAAGGAGGAATGACTTTACTAAGAGAGTTAATTTTTATTGCAAAGAGTGTGACGATTAGGACTCCACTTTGAGGAACATCATTCTCTTGAACGAACCAGTCTGATAAAGTTGTTCCCAACCGAACTTGAAAAGTGTGTTTACACAAAAAGCTCTTTATACACTGAAGCATTCTACCGCGTATTCCGTACATAGAAAGGTCGTGCAAGATGCCATACTTCCAAGTGGTGTCATAGGCCTTGTCCAAATCAAAGAAAACATACACAATGCTGCCTGTTGACAAATGCCTCGCGCACAAAGGTCTCCAGCTGCACCAAATGGTCTGTTGTAGAGCGTTCAGGCCGACAGCCAGAGTGATTGATACCCAAGATATTATGCTGCTCGAGAAAATAAATAAGACGCCTCTTAATTAATCTTTCAAAGCTTTTCCCCAGACAACTTGACAATGCTATTGGTCTGTAACTTGCAGGGAGGGAAGGGTCCTTGCCAGGTTTCAACAGCGGTATAACTTCAGCCCACTTCCATTCAACAGGGAAGTAGGCATCACACCACAGGCCATTGAAGTATGTGAGAAGAGCACTGAGTGACTCTTTAGATAAGTGTCGGATCATGTTCTGAATTCCATCGGGACCGGCGGCAGAATTCTTGCGGGAGTTCAGAGCCATTTCGAGCTCAACCATTGTAAATGGCTGATTGTAAAGTGCAGACGCTCCCCCTGTGAAGCAGAGCCTCATCTTTTCCATGCTTGCCTTACGCTTCAGGAATGCTGGAGAGTAATGTGCGGAGTTTGAAACAGCAGCGGAGTGCCCAACACATTAGCCTGGTCTAACAATGAGGCTCCAGAAGAAGGAAAAAGGGGGATTGTAAAACAACGGTATTTCCCCTCGACCTTGTGAAGTCGGTCCCATACTTCCTTTGCTGGAACATAGCTGCTGATGGAGGACAAGTAACCTCTCCAGGATTTTCCTTTAGCCTGCTTCCGAGTCCAACGGGCACAAGCTCTGCGTCTCTTGAATTCCATCAAGTTTACAGATGTCGGGTATCTACGAAAGACACCCCAAGCCTTATCTTGGTTATTCTTAGTGGTGGAACAATCCTCATTCCACCATGGCTTACATTTCTTGGGGATATCCGAAGAAGTTTGAGGGAAGGAGCAAAGAGCAGCACCAATTATACGCTCTGTGATGTAGGCTGTGGCACTGTCATGAGTTAATGAAGAGCACATAGAGAGAACAAGCTTGGATTTTTGGCTAAAAAGAGCCCAGTCTGCTTTTTCTAGCTTCCAACGCGGAGTCCGTTTCATGAGACTGGGAATAGATTTCATGCTCTCCAGAGCAACCGGAAAGTGGACGCTTCCAAAAGGGTTATTTAAAATGCTCCATGTGAAACAAGACACCAAGGATGGAGATGAAATGGAAAGATCAATGGATGTAAATGAGTTATGAGCTGTGCTAAAAGAGGTAGGCTCTCTGCTGTTCAAAAGCTGTGGCCCTCTGCTGTTCAAAAAACAGAGACTAGATGACAGTAAAAACCGTTCAATGACCCCACCACGTGAGTCCTGGCATGCACCACCCCACAAGGGAAGGTGGGCATTAAGATCTAAAAGTAAAAAGGGGTGAGGGAGCTGAGTAACTAAATCATGGAGATCATGAATATGCAGTGGAACATTTGGTGTAATATAGATGGAAACAATGGTGATGAAGCGGTCCAAGAGGAGACGTACAGCTACAGCCTCAAGGGGTGTAGAAAGAAGAATCTGAGAACAAGCAACTCCACTTTGGACGATTACCGCTACTCCACCATATGAGTTTGATGTGGAACGATCTTTTCTAAAAACTTGGTGTCGACGTAAAATAGACACATG